TACAGTGCTTCAGCTGTGTTACGGTATTCATAATAAACCCACCTCGAACATACACTTGTTTGCTTGAGGAACCAGATCCGGCCTAATGTCTTCGAATAGCTTATATTTGAACCATGGTGGTTGCTCCGGAGACTTTATCAACGCGCCAATCAGTGGCTAAACATATTAGCATTGACCAGAAATTCATAATAGCTTTTTCGAAGGCTAAATTTCGATTATCTGTAAGCTGTTAAGAACGAGAAGCACCACAAGTAAACTGGAGGAACAAAAAAGTCATTGCGCGCGATGCGCGCTTTAGCTGTTTTCGAAAGGTGAGTGCTCGGTCAGGCGCACCAGCGATATCACAGGTAGGATACCCAAGTGAGCTGAGGCATCTGGTTTATAGTTAGGGACGCATACAGTAATCCGGTTTCGCAGAAAAAAATGGATGTGAAAGCTTTGGCAGAATTGTTTAGGCACCTCGCAACTTCTCCTTTCTCCCTAAACAACTAGATTACTGTAGGAGCCCAAGTTTCCTCCACATACCTCTTCTTATTCAATAGACCCATCACCTGTATCATCTGTCGTCTCGCTGCCTATCGGGTTCTTGGAGCGGGCCCCGATTATGTCCGTGCTGCATGCCGCATCACTCCAACAGGCCCTTCTCACTAGAACGACGCGTAGCTCATTATTCCTTTTGTTCAGAGTATTGGTGACGAAGTCTGGCCAACCGACTGGCCGTCGCCTTGGAGTTCGCTTAAGATCCTTGGAGACCCAATAGTGGTAACCGCTCTGGTCTAACGGTCATCAGAAATCGCATGGAATGTTCAACCTAACTGACTTTCAATTCTTGACGAAAGACATTGTCCGCTCTCAACGTTGACGAAGATTAGAACACCGGGTTATCTTCTGCACTTCCGTGTCCAGAAAGACTCCCAGTGTGGTCCTCTCCGCAGGCTACCGAATAATGTCGATCACGTGCTTGTCCTGCATGCGCGGAATTCGAGACACGCTGTACACCAAGGCAGAAATGAATGCAGAACCGAAGATGTGGGAGCAGTGCGGGATATTCATAGGTTCTTCACTGTTCACTCTTCTTATATACTCCACATCGCTCGCTTCCTCCTGCTCAGTTCTGAAGTTAGGTAGCTCAACTTGTGTTGATTCCCCGACTAATGTGCATGTGGCTGAATTAGTCGGAACTGTTCGCTCTACTGAGCGTATGATAGGGCATTCAGATCCAGTCCGTTCACATAAATATAATATTCGACATCCCTACAGCACGAGCTGTTGACATCAGTCTTCATTCAACCTGCCTCTAGATATACGTCGTTGCGACCATGAGGT